CCCCCCCCCCCCCTGGGTCACTGGCTCAGGACACTGCTGGGGACACAAGGCACTAGCTCACCTAACTATCACTTTCACACTCTTTGTGGCTTGGTACAGCATTCCCTGTGGATGGTGGTAGGGGCGGGGAGGGGGGGCACCACCAAACAGAAATTGATCAGCAGATATTAATTTTTCGACATGACATGCTACGACATGCTACAATCTTTAACAAGTTTACTATGTCTTTGCTTACTTTGCTTATATTCAGTTGGCAGACTACTTGCCTGGGCCCTTGCCCACTGGACAAGAGTGCAAAGTTACTTGCCCGGCAGGAAAATCTACTTGTCCTGGGCGACTGGATGACACTTTTTTTGAGTCTTGGTATAAATAGAAACTACAGAAGTAGACTGATAGAGTTCCAAATCCTGCCATAAAGTACAGGGATATGACCCCACGATAGGCGGCTTCATGGTTCACCAAGAGCCAGCACTCCTTACTAGAGATTCAATTTTTTAATCTCTCGCTATTTTGAACAATTAATGTGTGAGGTCCTTTTAACTTTTATTTTTTCAGTATCTTTAAACAAATAATTGGATAGGAGAACTGTAAGGGGAGGCTGGGGGTTCTTACTATATTATTTTTGTGAGGGAATCGAAAAAGTTTGGAAATTTTAAAAACTGATGTCTGGCAACCTTGAAACAACTTTCAAACGTTTGAAACTTGTAAGTATCAATCACGTGAGTCCCTCAATATGTGAGTTTTGTTGACGAATCGATCGTGGTGCGGTGTTCATTGATAATTCTCAATCAATAATAATCGTTAATGATTGCTTTTTAGGAGCAGAAGTACAGCCATCTGTTCTCAGTACTGGACCAGTGTTTGATGACAATCTTTGTGTGTGAGATTCTTGTCAAGTGGTATCACGGATTCTTCATGTTCTGGAAGATGGGATGGAACGTTCTTGATTTCTTCATTGTGGTGGCTCTTCTCCTTGGACCGTGTGAGTTTAAAACTACCGAGATATTAGTGATTTGATGTCAGGGGATCTACCTATTAACCCGAAAGTGCGCCCCTCCATTGCAAGTGCTGTACCCGAACAAGCACCGCACACAAGACTCAGCAAAGATACCTATGTGCGGCCAGCAATCGCAAACCATAACGGTATTGGAATGATTTTGATGGGGAACGAGACAGTTGCATTTACATTTTAAAACTAATTTCGTTGCAGTTGTTATTTTTAGAAAAAAAGGTAATTACATTCTGTTAAAATATTGTTTATGAAGTGTCTTTATTACTTTGTCTCATTGTTTTTGTTGTTGTAATGCTATATTGTCAGTGCTCAGTACAGGATCAGGAAGCAGAGGAGTGTTGAGAATTCTTAGAGTGTTGAGAGCTTTCCGCAGTCTTAGAAGGTAGAATAGCTGTTTCCACCAGACACATAGGATTAGCCACAGTGGTCACCTTACAACGAGTGCTGCCTAGACATTTCAATGGAAATTCCACACTACGCCCAATGAATTTGAAAACGGAGGTTTCACTCTGAAAGCACATCAAATATTTCCGTCCACACTACGCCGGAGGAATTTAAAAAACGCACCATTCACAGGTCCTTTTGGATTTGTGATTGAGGAAGCTCGGTCAATCAGTCATTCAATTAATCAATGTTTCACCGCATGATTATCGCGCGTGACTATATCGTTGTAGAAAAGGTCCATTTTTAAAATGTTTTCCGTCCACACGAAAACAAAAAGCCAGCGTTTTCAAATTCTTCCGGTTTGAAGAGCGTTTTTCGAAAAGCTTCGCTTTCATGACGGATTAGTGTGGACGTTTGGCCTAACCGTACAGAAACAAAGCTGGGTTTTCAAATTTGTCCGGCGTGATGTGGGCGCTGTCTGACCTGGGAATATGGCGTCTCCACGTTCCGATTTATGATTGGTTCGTTTGCTCCGTTGTTTACCCAAGTGACTGGCTCCGCGATTGGTTTGTTTTCCCGAGCAATAGTAAAAAAGGCCGCACGATTTGATAGGAATCAATTTTTGGGGGGGACAATTATCATCGTTTTAATTAAGAGAAAACAAAACCGTGGAATCTTGTGCACGCGACGTAGACACTTGTGTTAAAAAGCGAGACTTTTATAACCCCTGAGGTAGCTGTGGAAGTTTAGCCGAGTTTGAAGAAAGATTTATTGTAACTTTATTTGCAATACAAAGGCCTATTTTTAAGGGTTTTTTTTCACCATTGTTCACCTGATTTTAATTCACAGTATCAGTTCTCTGCCTGGGTTACAGATTGTTGTACAGACAATTCTTCAGTCAGTTCCTGGTAAGTTTTACCTGTTTTAAAGTGGTAAATTCTTATCATATGACCTCAGAAAATTTCGTTGCTTAGCTTAGTTGAGTTACGAAGTACTAGAACATTTAGCACTTAATCAATGGCCCCAAGGGAAACAGTGAGTTTCGTTTCCCGAACGGGGACAAAACTCACTCTTTCACGTGGGGCTATTCATCAAGTGTTTTGTTGTAATTCCTAACTCAAAAATGGAACAAACTGCGAAAACATTATTGGCTTCACGCCGGTTGCCACAATAATTTGCAGCTGTTTCAAGTTGTACGACTTGATCACGTGCGAGTCTAAAGTTCAAGTTGTTGTTTCGCTATGGATATGACACGTGGCAGGCTCTCCTCCAATCGGAAAACGTATTTGAGTCGGAAGGTATAACAATGTTTTTTTTTTTCCTTCACAGACATGGCCAACATTGTACTGTTGCTTGTGATTATCATGCTGGTGTTTTCTGTGATTGGAGTCACGCTATACCGGGACATTGTACCGATGTATTTTGGAAATCTCTCTAGCTGTATCTTTCTATTACAATATTTAATACTTATCCTGACCTAATTATTTATCATTTTCATTATTCTTTGAGGAAGAATGCTTAAAGAATGGTTTTACTTTTCTCTTGGGAGTATTGCTCTGCTAGACTTGTTATTCCAACGACAAGCTTACGCTCATCCTTTCAATCTTTCTCTGACACAATCAAGAACTGACATACACACTGACAAATTATCGGCTTTAATTTGTCCATTTACCAAGCACGGTTCAAATTCCCCACCCCAGGGAAGGCCTTTTGTGTCAAATGCCCGTGGGTTGCTCGGTGGGGGATGTTGAAGCTTCAAATTGATCGACGCATTAGTCTTCGGCGCGGACAGTTAGTTTGCTTCATCATGGACTGTTCATCCATAAAACCAGGAACATTGAACGTCCTGGAACATGCTGGAACATGCTGAAACAAACTGAAACTTTTAAAAAAATTAAAAGTATTGATAACGTACAGAGTTATATATGGATACGGTGCTGCTCTTTCCAAAACTTAAAAGCTCCTTCTCTTCCATAACAGCTATTTTGGGCATAAAAACACTAAATTATTTTTGTACAGTCATTTATTTCATCTTGATTCAGTTTATCACAATCCTTGACTTTATTTAGCCATGTTCTATCTCTTTGTTTGTCTTACTCAAGATGGATGGATGGAAATTTTCAAAGCTTTTCAGGTAAAAATGACACATTTTTTCAAGCTGGCTAGAAATGTTAAGATATTTATAACAAGAAATATCAAAATAAGTACAAATGTAACATTAGTCAGTTACAGTCAACTCAGTAGAAACATTTTTTGTCCCTTGATTCATGTCACGCAGGATGTTGGAGAGAATTACTACGTTGGTGGAGGGCTATTTCTCATTGCCTTCATAGCTATCGGTGCGTTTGTATTTGCCAACCTTGTTGTTGCTGTTGTGGTTACAAATCTGGTGAGTAGTTAACCCATACAAGTAGTCCCGCCCGTGCTGCGATTTTCCCGGCTCGCCTCGAGATTTTTTTCTACCTTTCGCTTAGTTCTTACCCCAGAAAAAAAAAAAGTAGATAAAGAAAGAGACTACTGAAAATGTAAAATTTCCTATTTACATGGGAAAACCGGAAATTCCAGTTGGAAAATCAAATCGCTGGCGCCATTCCGTTTGGGAGGCTTTAGGAAATATGGGCTGTGATTTGAGGTGATGCTGTTTTCCTGCTCTTTTAAATCTCTTTAGCTGATGTGAATATACTTTATAGCGATTCCCTCTCCCGCGACGTCGCGTTTAATTGTTTAATGTTCGTGTCTAAAGAGCTCTGAAATTTCCAACCGGATGGTTTTTGTAAATGGTAAGCATCCCTGATTTTCTAGGTGAGTTATCAGCATTGATTAAATAGAAAATTGAATATTCAGCGAAGAAGGCTCATCAGCCGTAACTGGTTTCCACGCGGGTCCTCTATTCTGGTCGAATTCACACGGCATTCATAGAAATCAGGTTTATAGGTAGAATATTGTTGTAAGTTAATATAATATTAGGATTAGAATTTTAGGTTTAGGATCTTATCTCATTGGAATTTGTTGTACCTGATGAATTTTTACCGTGTATAAATAATGATTAAAGATTAAAGATTAAAGAATTAGAATTTTGAGATGTTGGTTTTCTGTGGAGGAAGGAAAACCGGTCGGAGTACCTGGAAAAAAACCCTCGGAACAAGAGCAAAACCAACAACAAACTCAGCCAACATATGGCACCGTGCCAGAATCGAACCCAAGCCATATTGGTGGGAGGCGAGCGATCTCTCCACTACGCCATCCCTACTCCCCTGAAATTCCCCTGTTCCTTGATGGAGTGCCTAATATAAAAGAAAAATCGTCTTAGCAGACACTCATGCTACAAAGAGTGAGCCGGAGGAACTTTAACTTGTTTCGGATTTATAACTCTTTAATATCGTAATTCTCATTACTGTATGTCAAGCATTTTTCTTGATGTTTGTTCTGAGTATTTAGTGGCACATCAAGAGAATGTCCTAGTTGATGACTTTGGTTATTCTTTTAACTTTTCTAATGTGTGAAGTATACCGAAATTCTAACAAGACATCACGTGACTCTGAACATGCACTTTATTTCGTGTGAACAGGAATTCGCTATGGTTGATGTGAAGACTGAAGGCAAGGAGCGGGAAACAGATGATCTGAAAGCTAAACTCGAGGAAGAAGGTAAGTTAATTACGCATCTGTTTGTTAGCTACAAAGGAGTTTCACAAGAGCTTTATGATTCTTAGGTTCCATTCTCCAAGATCCGATCTTCACGAATAATCTTTGAAATTTTGACTTGTCCTTTCCAAGAGAGAGAA